CGCGAGCTCGGGCTGGCTTTTCCCCCTCTGGCACGGTTGCGGGTCGATGCAGCTAGCGCCGCTAACTTTTGCCTGTATAGCGATGCTGTATTTTTTCGGTGCGTTTCTATGGGTTTCTGTAAGCTCTGCCCGCAGAAGGATAGCTGTTGGGGGGGTGCGCGCCAGGAGCGCCTGTCGGTACGCCTGTGGCAGCCTAGCTTTACCGGTCAAACTTTCCAGGCCTTGACGGCAAGCGTCTCCTCGCTCGCGCTCCTTGCCTTCGCCGTAGGTCAGCTTTCTCCTCCGGCAGCGACTGAACGGGTGCCGGAGCCGTGGCTCGTGTTTAAGGGCAGCACGGTGAAAAATCGTTGCAGTCTGTTGCTACCGATGGAAAGGGAACGACCAGGTTAGAGAAGATAGCGCGCACCTTCGTTTTTACACTGCCCGTCTTCTTGCGTTTTCTGAAAGAGCTTAAGCCTACGTCCGTTTATGTTGCAGCGTGAACACGTTCTGAAAAAGTAGCGTAAGGATGCTTATAAGCGTTGTGGATTTACCCGTAGCAGATTAAATAGGGGCGTAGAGTTTGGCCAGGTTCTTCTCTGCCCTCTGCTGTGTCGTGTTCCCGACGCCTGCTCGTTAGGGTGTAAAGTACTGCTTTTTGAGTTAGTAACAAATTATAGTTACTGACGTTCTAGGGGAGTTCTCAATATATCTTCTATGTCGAGAGGATCCTATAGAAATTACTGTAGTTATTTTTTTTTAATCTGTTTATATAGAGGAGAAAGAGTTAAGTTAAGAAAATGTAGTGTGGTTGATCCTGAATTTCTTCTAATTTATTAGTTCCCAGGTGGGAATAGGAGACTTAGCTGATGTAGTCAGTAATGAATGAGACTGCAGAATTAATAATTGAAGACAGAAGAATTAAATTAAAGAAAAAAAGCCAAGGCTTGGTCCTTTGTCTTAATCACATTTCCTTAAATGTTTTAGGGGAAGTTAGTTGTAACATTGTTGATGTTATTTACTTAAAAGAAATCAGAGTTCACTTAGTGTAATTCTCTCAAAAAAAGAGTTGACGTTATCTTTTGCTATTTTTCCAACGTTTCCGGTTTCCCAGAACTTTACCTCTAGGTCTGAAAGTTTCTGTAGTACCTACGCAAAAGTGCTTTTCCGTATTTTCATCTAGTCCGTAGAAGATAATTTTATGAACGTATAACACTTAAGGCGCGTGGGAAGGAGTTGCTAGGGAACATATTTAGCCAAACCTTAGAAGGCAAGCTGAGACGTTAAACATTGTTAACTATGGCTGTTAGGGTCATAGTTCTCAGTGAGATCTCCTCTTTTTGCCTTTTTTATTTAGGAAACAAACCAAACATTTTATCCGAACGTATGGTTATTTGAAAAGTAACTCCTGGATGTTAGAAAATGGCCTGAAGTCCTGCACAAAAATGCAGGGCACCTACCACGCCTGAATTATCGGTTCATTAAACTTTCAGGTGGTTTCGTGTAGTTGTTCCACAGCCTGCAGAGCCGTAAACCAAGCAAAGTACGAATCTTTGCCTGTCAGACAGCTGCCTAAAGCTTCCTGAAACGTCTTTGTGGTTTATTGATTAAAATCACAAGATGGCAAGATACGTGCGTTGCAGGACACCGACAGCGCGGTGTATATTTTGCACTCCCTATATGTTCTGGTTATTTGTTGCGTTTCCTGTTTTTAATCAGTAAAGTTTTGTTTGCCTAATGTATACAAGAAAGCATCAAATGCACAGAACGTGCACCCAACGAACATTGCTCTCAAAACGTTAGTTTGATTTCTCGCGCTTTTAACTGTGAATCTCTGTTTTGATCAACAGTTTTAATGAAAGTGAAATACACAGCCGAGTAGAAAGCCACACTGCGCGGGCTCTACCACTCGCTCCATCCAGCTGTACGATCTGACGGCTTATAGTTTTCCATAACTGTAATCTGGGTGCAGCAAAGTGTGTCCCAGAAGTTGCTGTTTCCCTAAATCCCCATTGCTCTCGCTGGTGTTGAGTTGAGTTAAGGTTTTTCGGGGTTGGGCCCTGGGCGTTCTCCGTGTTACAGTGCTGAATGACTCGTTTCCTCTGGAGCTGCTAGAAGTCTTAGCATGCCCGTGATTCACGCAGAAGGCTAAGGGTATTCAATCTGACTTGAAGTGCTTTACATAGAAATACTATTGTTCTGACATATTTCCCTGCCTCTTTTTTTTTGTATTTGTTTTTTAATGAAGTGGCATGGGTATAAAGGCTAGTATATCTGCTGGTTTAAAGTTTGGCTGGGTAATTTAATTGTTACTAACTTCTTTTAGTTGTTTACTGCTCTAATTTAAAAAAAAAAAAAAAAACCTAAAACTCTCAATGCGTTATACTAAGAAAAGTAAGATAAAATACAAAATTAGGATAAAAATGTCCAGGCAGGACCTTTAGGGAGAATACTTATTAAAACCAGGAAAGCTCAGCTCCTAATAAAATATTAAAATTTGGCAAAAAGCATGTTAGGTGTTTGTTTTGAGCTGAGAGCAACTGTCCAGAAGTCTTGATTGCACACTCCCTCCCACCATGCTGGCAGCACGCGGCAGCCTGCCGGTCGCGGAGAGCGCGCTGTGCTTCGGCCTTGCCCTGCCCGAGCACCTTCTGCGTAAAATCAGTAACAGCAGCGAAACGCAGTTTATGGAGGATCTGGTGTCCCGCCGCGTCCGGGGTCAGCATTCGGTTTGGGGCCGGCTTTCTGGAGGAAGGTGGGAGAAGGTGTAAGCGTGAGGAAGAGGAGGCAATCGGCAATGCAGCGCAAAGCTTGTCCGCAGAGAAGGTACCTTTGCAGCGCGGTCGGGACGTCTCTTTGAAACGCGTAGTGATTGCGGCTGTCGCTGTCACTGAGGGAGGAGGAGAGAAACGGCGTTCGGGATAGCTGGTTATCCGACCGTTTACTGCTTTCCGCTCAGCATTACCCCCCTGACCTTCGCCCAGAAGGCGCTTGGTTGCAGCGCGGGTTTTGGCACGGCGCTGCGGCGTGCTGCCTGGGTTAGGCTGCTATACGAGCCGGCCACCGCGTTCAGCGGCTTGCCCGTGATCCTCAGTGTAGCCCGCGGTGGGACGTGAAACAGGGCGCTAGTCGCAGGCGGCAAAAGCCGGTTTTAATACAAGAGAAAGAGTTCCAAACCTGACGTTAAGAAGCGGGCACGGACGCCTCGGCCATAGCTGTGGTCGCGAGTGGGTCTGATTCTGTAGCAGCCTACCTGCCCCAGCTTTCTGTCAGCGCCGCGTCGGTCCTGCCGGAGTGAGTCTCCGCCCAAGAACCCTCCTGCCAATTTTCTGGGGACAGGATCAGACGCGACGGTTTATAAAGCTGAGCGTTTCTCATCAGCGTCCTGAAGGCAGCTTTTCTCGTGTGCCTTCGGTGATGACCCAGCAGCTGCCGTTGCTGCGAGCGGAGGGAGGATCGAGTCGACCTTGTTTGAATGTTACTGTTACGTTCCTCCAATATCTGCAGCGCTATGTTAGCGTGTAATTTGTTTTGGGAAACAAAATATTGTCCTTTTTAAAAAGGCTTTTACAAAGTAGATTTAATTATTTTCATGTAAATGAGCTAGAGACGCTAGTTTATTGGGTGGGTAGTGACGATTCATAAATAAAACACATCAGTGTAATTTCCTCTGTGATGTACTGAGAGTTAGATTTATTTATTTCAAACAAATTTACTAGCCAAGAGGACTAATTGTATCATCTGGTCTCATCTCTTGTCTATCAAAAGGCTGTACCGTTTCTCCCACTTTTCCCTGCGCAGAGCCAAATCTCTTGGGTTTGGCTGAGGTGTGTTTTCTGGAAAGGCATAGTCTGAAATTGGAGACGGCAGAGGAGTTTGAACGGGTGGGAATGTAGTCAAGAATCGCACTAATTCCCTCCGAAACTGTGCATGTGCGTACCTGCTTTTAACAAGACTAAAACCGACAAAGCGCGTTGCTCGGGAGAAAGGAGAGCGCACGTGGGAAAACGCGGGCAGCGGCGACTGGAGTTCTCCTTCCGCAGCTGGCCTTAGCCAAAGGGAGCTATGCTGCTCCTGGATTATATATCTGAACGCTGTCACACTCAGTTCCAGGCTCCGTGGTGCTAGTCTGTAAGTTGATAATTTTTTGTTCCCTGTTTCTGGTTTCAAGACCTCGGAATTCACGTTTTGAGGTAGCATCCTAAATGTCTTGTCTGGACATAACAGTTTTTGTGAACCTTTTAAATGAACTATTTAAAGACTTTGTGCTGTACAGCTGTAAAATCTCCCAGTGTAACGCTTAGTAAATCCAGAGCTGACTCTATTTGTCCCTGTCCTGTCAATCATGTTACTCCATCAGCAGCAGAACTGGATTAATGTTGAAAGTGTAACATTTTCTGACCTGTTACAATTATGGCTTGTTACCACAGTGAGAGATACAGTATTATAAAAGATATAGAAATAAACATGTAAGACGTTTTCTGGCACAGTGTTCTTTGAGAAATTGTGTCACAGACTTCTGCGCGTTGACTTGCTGATGCCTCCTATGAGTCATAGGCATTTCTGCTTCTGCTGTTCATGTCTGCAGCCACGTATTTCTATATATACATTGTCTTTTTAGGACAGCATTATAAAAATCAGTGGTGCTCTGAAACACAAACTTTCTAAAAAATATCATAAGTTCTCCTGGGTTTTGGTTGTTTGGTTGGTTTGTGTTTTTCTCCTCCCTGAATTGCATCTTGACAGGCTTTGCCAGTATCCCTTTCTTACCTGGTAGGCGTGGAGGAACGAAGTATGTTAGCGGGTTACAGTCTGCCGATCGTGGGGCTCTGCCCGGGATTCCTTGGACGTGTTCTGACTTCTGTTTCGTTTTATGAGATACAGGTTAGAGAGCTATTTCCCCAGAGGATGTTTCTGAGCTACTGTGAGTCTTGGTGGTTTGGATTACGTTCAGTAAATGACAAATCCAGTAAAAGAGCCTGTTCTCAGTGTTTACAGTCGTTCTCTGTGTTTAATTGCAGACCTCAAAAGAGGACCTTTTACAAGCTGATTTTGAAGGAGCTTTAAAATTCTTCAGGGTGCAGTTGCCCAAAAGGTACAGAGCCGAGGAGAACGCTCGAAGACTGATGGAGCAAGCTTGCAACATTAAGGTAAGAGCAGTCTTCGTTTCCTCGCCTTCGGCCAGACTTTACGCAGGGAAAATACGGTGGAATGCTAAGAATGGCAGTAGGATGTGGGCAGCACAGTACTGAAAGCAGTAATTAATTACTTTATGTATATATGCGTATGTGTATTTATACACACAGATTTTTATGTTTAAAGAAAGTAAAGCCCTGAGCTTTTCCCCCTTGTCTGCTTTGGCTCAAGCTGATAATTAAAATAGAAATCTGATGCATCATCCAAAAACTGAATGATCAGTGCCCCCTAATTCATTAACTATTTTGTAAATAGTCGTAAACACTGAAACAACTGGATATCCGATAATCATGTAACAATATGACAGATATTATTTGTTTTACTTTGAGGCTATTTAGTTGCAGACTGCTGCTTTATCGTGTAATTATACTGGAGTAGAAAGTTGGTTTCTTTTGTATGTGAAGCCAACCAAGACAAAGCATCTTTTTATGTTGTACCCTATCCAAGACCTTACTGTCAAAAGGTAGGCTTCTTTGAAGGTCTGGAGTACAAATACTGGTCTTATAATGAATGATGGCAAGTTACAGGATCCTGACTATAAGCTTTTGCGGCTGGAAATCTTTCACTAAAAATGACTACAGAAATTCATAAAGCTGCCGTTCAGAAGGTCTGGGATTTTTTTTCTGGCATTTTCTGTTGGAATATGTGTAGCTGTGGATGGGTTTAACGTTTAGTCTTGAGAAAAAAAGTGGTTTTGTTATTTCTTGGAGCTTGAGCGCTGCTGGGAAATGCATGTTTGGCGTAGCCCAGCAATGGGCTGAGAACATACCATTAGAAAGTACGCTTCTCTAACACCTGTGCTTATTTATACCTCTCTCAATATATTTCTATCCATTTACTCTTTATTGCTTAATTTAATAGTTTATTAAGCAAGGGCTTTTTCCATACTGATTAAACACTGATCTTGTGACAGAGAGGGGCTTGCAGCACTGATGTTTATTCCAGCCAGATAAAGGAGGTTCTGTGCAAAGGCTTTTTTTTTTTTTTTTCTTCCCAATTGGACTTGAGATTTGGACTTGCTGCTGAAAGATGAGAGTATTTGGGAGTGAAAGACTACAATTCAATTTGATGTGTGTAGTCCTTTGGATAAGCTCAATTCTTGAAAATGAGTAATTTAAGGATTTATCAAGTACAGTAAAATTATCTTTGTGCTGTTTATGCAGTATGCAATTTTCTGATGCAAGGTTAAAATAGAAGTCCTCCTGGTACTTTTTGAAGGAGATATTTATGCATTTTCTTGGGCCTATCCTTCTCGTTTTCTTCTCCAGCAATGTATCGCGTGCCACATAATGCTATTTTTTTTTAAATTTCTTTATTTGTGTCTGGTGTGTGTTTATATGCTGTGTTCTGTTTGGAAAGTATTTTGAAATCTGTTTGAGGCAGATGGTCAGGGGATAGCGCCTAATATGGGTTCAGCACGTGGGGCTATGCAAAACCAAAGAATAAAAATGTAAACTTGCTTTGCCTTGAATGGGAAGGAAGCTGAACGATTTGGCAGTGAATCCAGTGGGTGTGCGGAGTTTTGCACGTTCTGGACTGGGATGCATGAGGGAAGAGCGCAGCTGAGTTGAGCAGAGATGGAGGCAGAGCGCTCCCCTGTGTGTTACAGAAGGACATGAGGACAGGTAGGAGTTACTGGACTGAAAGGAGAATTCAGGGTCAGGAACCATGCTGGCGTCATCGGGGTGGGAGAAAGCGGAAGACCTGATTCACGTTATCGCCTGCTGTCTGTGTTAGCGGGCAGCCCCCCCCCCCCCTCGTAAGGAGCGCGGCTGGCTCTGCTGGCTCACTCGGCACGGGGCTCGTTACTTCGTTCAGGTCTAAGGGACGCGAGGGGAACTAAACTGCGTACTGAACGGTTTTTGAGAGTTAAGCTAAGGACAGCTAAGCCCATGAAGAAGAGCGAACTGAAATTCTAGCCTAGTTGAGGTTGTTGTCAGGATTAATGGGATAGTCAGGAAAGTTGATCTAAACTAGTGAGAACTCTGTAGATAAGGTGGAGTAATTACAACAGTCAATAGGATGTGGGTAGTCTTATTAAGAGCTGCAGTGGTCTGGATTAGGCTTGTCTTAGTTCAGTGAATGAACATTTGGTTAGAGCAGCTCTGTGCTTTACGGTGTCACCAGCCTGTGTGCGGTTATTCAGGGCCTCTTTCTGTGGAACATGGCAGAAAATGAAAGACCTAGAGGAACTTAGCGTCACAAAACTCAGTGCAAGATTTTATTGGAGGGGAAGGTGATGTTTATTTTAAATAAATCTGATTTCACTCACTTGGGCTCCTTCTGTCACGGGTTTGAGTCACTCTCACACCCACAGTCTCAAAAGCACCGAGATATATGTCTGGCCAGGATCGCTTGTGTGTGACGAGGACGAGGCACAGCAGCCATTAAGTCCTCACTACGTCTCTTGGGTTCCTCTTGATTGGTAACAGTGAACAGGTTTTTAGACAAATCTTTTGTATTTTTTAGGAGTCAAAAGTTACTATGGTGTGATCTTTAGCCACAGAATCTTGCTTACTTCAGCCTCTGTAAATGGTGGACAACGTTGCTACCCCTTGTCTTCGGTTCCTCGTGGCGGGTGATTCAGTGCTGATGTGCTGTAACCGTGCTGCAGGCCTGGTCATCTGTGATACGGCCTTGTCAAGAGTGCAGGCCTGCTCGTCTAGCTATGACAAGATGTTTCTTTTCTCTACCACTTTGATTGCTGTCAGTCATGTCCTTGCTTATCAATACATGCTGTTCTTGTAGCCCTTCTCTATATTGTTTCTTCTGATACCTTTGCTTGCAGACATTTCCATACATATTTCATTCAGACCGGTCTTAATGTTTTTGTGATGGATCTCTGCAGAGTGACTGTGTGGTGCCTTGACTGAGTTAGCTCAGTGCTGCACATTAAATTAAAGCACCTAAAGATTGCACTGACTTCCAATTCACAGGTTTTGTGTACTTGGACCAGCTTTTCTCAGTTTTGTCAAGTAGAATGAGAACCAAATCTGAATTGCAGGAAAGTAACCTTTGACTGCAGGTAGCGTTAACTATTTGATAGGCAGAAAAGAAAATCAGCAGCTCATAAGGAAGAAGGTGAAGGGGAGTAGTCAGCATGGACTTACAAAAGGGGAATCATGCTTAATGAACTTTCTACAGTGAGATGACTGGCTTGGTGGATGAGGGGAGAGCACTGGATGTTGTTCCTCTTGACTTTAGTAGGGCTTTTGACACTGTCTCCTACAACATCCTCACATACAAACTGATTAAGTACAGACTAGGTAAGCAGAGTGAGGGGGAATAAAAACTGGCTGAACTGTTGGGCTCAAAGGGTTGTGATGGGCAGCACGAAGCAGCTGGAGGCCAGGCACTAGTGGTATACCGCAGAGATGGATACTCGGGCCAATGCTGTTTAACGTCTTTTAAATGATCTGGATGATGGGACCAAGTGCTCCTTCAGCAAGTTTGCAGATGATACAAATCTGGGAGGAGCGGCTGAGAGACCGAATGGATTCAGAAGGATCTCAACAGGCTGGAGAAGTGGGCAAAGAGGAAGCTCATGAAGTTCAATAGAGGGAAATGCCAAGTCCCACACCTGCAGAGGAATAACCCCAGGCACCAGGACAGGCTGGGGGCTGATCAGCTTGGCAGCTGTTGTTCTGGTGGACAGGAAGTTGACCATGAGCTGGCAAAGTGCCCTTGTGACAAAGACAGCCGACGGTAACCTGGGCTGTATTAGGCAGAGCATTGCCAGCAGGTCGCAGGAGTTGATCCTTCCCCTCCATCAGCCCTGGTGAGATGCATCTGGAGCGCTGGGTGCAGTGCTGGGCTCCCCAGTACAGGAAAGGCATGAACGTAACGGAGCAAGTCCAGCGAAGGGCTGCTAAGATGATTCAGGGACTGGAGCATTTGTCTTACGAGGAAAGGCAGAGAGGGCTGGGCCTGTTCAACCCGGAGAAAAGAAAGCTCAGGAGGATCTTACTGATGTGTATTAATAGTGGGAGGTGGAAAGGGTAAAGAAGGTGGAGCCAGACTCAGTGGTGACAAGAGGCAATGGGTTCAAACTGAAATAGAGGAAATTCTACTTAAACATAAGAAAACACTGTTTTACTGTGAGGGTGGTCGAACGCTGGAAAAGGCTGCCCAGAGAGGTTCTGGCATCTCCATCCTTGGAGATAATCAGCTCCCGACTGGACGTGGTCCTGAGCAGCCAGCTCTAGTTGACCCTGCTTGAGCAGGGGGCTTGGTCTAGAAGATCTCCATAGGTGCCTTCCAACCTCAGCTCTTTTATGATTGTGTAATTAGATATTATAATCATGATATTTATTTACAAACAGGAGCTAATAATTATAAGAGTTGACATGTTCAAATAGGAAATTATAGTCTTGATAATTACCATTAGATGAGGTCCCAGGGAATGCAGAGGTTATATGAAGTAGTTGTCTGTCTTGTTGATGGAGCAAAACTTGTTCTGTGCAGAAAACAAACAAAACCCTTGAATGTGTTTTTTCTGCTGTGTGAGTGTATCACTTCTGTATTGATATTTGTAGACTAAACATCAGAATTTTTTTTTTTTTTTAGAAAAAGTACCACATAGTAAGTGTCAGGGAGTATTTTCATTTGGTTTCTAAACTAATGATTGAGACACAAAAAATTGAAAGCAGAATCATGGTGTAACCAGCTTTCATACTTTTGCTATACCGTAATCAGTGTTTCATATTTTCTTTAACTTTACTGCAGGACAGGAGTTTTAACATGTAATAATCTAGCTCTTGCATCCTTTTTGGTTTTTTTTAGCTCTACCTGTCGTGGCTTTAGAGAAAGCAAATGAAAAAAGTGCTTCAGGTTTTTTCTCTTTAATTTTCTTAACTTTTAAGTTTAGGTAGTGATTGCAGGATCTAACCCATGGATTTTGAAGATGCTGTGTTGGTAATGTTAGTTTTATGATGCTGTTTTTAAAACAAATTAA